CAGCTTCCTCCTCTTGCTGCCGCGTGCTGCCCGCAGCGCCGGTACGGGACCCAGGCTGCTGTTACACCCCTTCAAGAGCTGCTGTGATATCTGAGATGCTGACCTGCAGGTGCACACACTCCTCTCCTGGAGACCTGCCGGGAGGCAAACACCAACAGGAGCCCGCAGCGGTGAGAGGCAGATTTAAGAGACTTGAGGCTGCCCAGGGCAGAGCATCGGCGAGGTGAAGGCAGCGATGCTCATGTCCCCGAAGGGTCCTGCCTGCTCTGAGAGGGCAGAGCGGTCCCAAGAGTTATTGAAGTGACGGAAAGTGCTTCCCAATCTTTTCTTCCCTGTGTGCTTCGATGATGAGATGTGAGACGAGATTTTTAGGGTGAATTAATGATACCATTACTGGAATCCAATTTTCTTCCTGACATGAATGAAATGGGAAGAGAACAACAAGTTGCATACTAGGCACACGGTGCTTCAAGTTTATTGTCATTAGCAGGGACGACTTCATCAAGTGTGAACCCAAAAAGCGGCTCCATCCCAGCCCCTGCCTGGCAGAGCCGGGCAGCAGACGCTGCTTCTGCGCTTGCCTCATGCTGGAGCAGCAGCAGCTGCAGCATTTCCCAGGGCTGTGGTTTTAACCCCAAGCAGAGCCGTGCACAGCCACAGCCCCTTTTCTGCTGGGCTCTGGGGCACTCACTGCACGCCTCACGCCTCTGCGGAGGTTCTTTGCTCTCCGGCAGGACAGGGTCTCGCCCCCCCGAACCCCTTGCCCGCAGGGCTGCCCCTCTGCGGCCCCCACCGCGCTGACAAACCCGCTCGGATCGATCACCGTCGTTTGCTTACATTCAAAGAAATTGTTTAATTAAAGCTAACGTAGTGAAAACAAACTAACAGGCACCAGCAGGGCATATTAAAGCCCTACAAAGATTTATGGGACCGTGTGTGCCGTAGGAAAGGGATTCTGAGCCGGAGAAGGTAGCGTGTCTCTCACCTGCTCTGCCTCCCTGGAAACGGAGGGGAGAAGGGAACTCCCAAACTGCCAACCGGCTCCCAGTTTCCCACACTCCCCTTAAACTCTGCAGCAAATACAGGCACGTGTGTAAACAATCCAGTCACCTCATTACACCTTCATCATCCGCAACAAAGCCATTAGCATTAATCTAAGCTGGCTGGGAGACAGCTCAGACCAGCTTCATCACAGCGGGGACACAGGGCTCTGCAGAGTGTTTTCCCACATACCCTTACGCCACTAAAAGGTGACAAACTTTCGCTCTGGTTTCTTAAACCGGGGCTATCGGAGGCTTTATTTACCAGCCCTTCCTCCCGGCCGCAGGCAGCGCCGCAAAGGAGGAGTGGCCGTGGGTGTCCAGGTCTTCCCGAAGGAGCCGGGACACGAGACACCTCCAGCTCCTACTGGGAAAGTCATCTTCAACTTTTCTTCAACGGCCTCGCTGGTTTTGCAGATTTCGGGTCGAACCCAGGGCACGGCCGTGCACTTCGGGGGAGCAGGCAGCACCCTGCCCGCGCGCCGGTGCCCACCGGCCTGCTCGCAGCCAGGCGCCGAACGCCATCCTACGTGCATCGGCGAGGAGAGCCATGCGCTGCAGCGGACGGTGGCATTTAACGGCAGGGCGGGGGGACGGCCCTCGGCGGGCGCC